TTTCTCTTTCCTACTTCAATAGATTGTTCACTAAATTTATGTAACAAAAAGCGCACGAAAAAATCTATAAAATTCTAGAAACAAAAAAATTAAAAAATAATCCCTAAAAAGTACAAGTCACTTAATTGATATCCGCATAAAATCTGACGGGTTTAAAGATTAGAAGTATGCTGCGTCTGATAAGCAACTCCGTTTGCCAATAGATCGTCAATTTCGTTAGATTGAAGCTTCAGTTCAGTTAAGATTTGTATTGTGTCTTCACCGGGTTGTGTGTTCTTATGACCTCCTACAGAAATACCGGGTGTGCGAGACAAACGAGGAGCGGGATTTGGAATTATATCGTCCCCCATAGTCGTAAATGTCTGCCTTTGATTATTGTGAATATGTGACGTGACGTTTTCAATATCTAACATCGGTGTCACGCAGGCATCACTGCCGTCGAATATAGCGCACCATTCCGCTTGAGTCTTGGTCTTGAAAATTTCCGTGATTATACGACGATTTTCTTCGAAATTCTCGAACTGCGGCACCTCGTCGCTCGAGAGACCGAGCTTCTTTAGGAAGATTTCGTAGAACTGTGGTTCGAGCGCTCCAACACACATATAACGCTTATCCTTCGTCTCATACGTATCGTACCAGTGCGAACCTGTGTCCAAACTGTGGGAAGAGCGCGGTTATTAAAAGAACTCTTTACAAAGGAAAATTAAACTCTAAAGCACTTGCGTGCTTCGAGAAGCTTACAAATTTTTTCCACGTGGATTTCTCCAAAATATTTTGTGGGATCTGAAGAACCAGGACCCTAAGTACGCCGCTCCTTCTACCATTGATACATCTATTACCTGCCCAACGTTGCTCCTAGTACGCTCATATAACGCTAAGATTATTCCAAAAGCGCACATCAAACTACCACCACCGAAATCAGCAGCCAGATTTCCAGGTGGCGTAGGTTTCTGATCGTATCGGCCAAATAAAGACAGTAATCCTGTATTAACAATTCATATCAGTTTTGTAAGACGACTAGAATTTATTTACGCAGGAATTGTGTCTCGATAAGGTGAAACAAAATTAATAAAATAAATTTATGTAAAATAATTTAAGCAAAATGACCTTGTGCGAATACAAATATAAATGAATATGTATGAATACGTAGCTCTCTTTATATTAATTGAATAACTTATATGTGGATTGTATTGTATCATAATATCGTATGTTTATACGTACCAGATAAACCTAAATAATTGATATCATGACCAGCCATATTTGCATAAGAGCCACTTTGTCCGTATCCAGTCAATCTAGCGTATATCAATCTCTTATTTGTCGCCATAAGTTCCTCTGGTCCAATCTTCAATTTTTCCATGACTCCTACCGAATATATATTTGTGTAAGTTAAAAAATTGTGTGAATCAACACGAAAACCAATTTTAAATCTTCAATTTTATTCTTGTTATTAATGAAGACTAATTAATACATTCAACATTAAGACTAGCTATCTTTCTCACTAGCTTGAAGTCATCACAAAGATAATTGAAATTTAACATAATTAATGTAAACAGTTTAACATAATTGGTATACTGTATTCTGTATATCCTTACCCTTCCTGTACGTGTCAATAACGACGTCGCTTTCATCGCTTAATTTTTTGAAAATATTAATACCCCGTTCAGATTTCAGATTCAATGCTATCGATCTCTTTCCATGGCCCAAATAATCCAATGCCGGAGCTTTAATCTGTAATGTAAGAAAGAATTTGATAAATTTCGACAGAGTTAAACTCTTTAACTTTCAAAATTGTATTTTTAGACATTATGTATGGTATGTGGATAATATCCCAGATAACATGCATGTCTAAAAGACATCTTTAAGATGCCTTTAACACGTCTTTTAGACATCTTTTAGACATACACGTCTAAAAGATATCTTAAAGACGTCTTAAAGAAGTCTTGAAGATGTCTTAGACAAGCATGTTATTACAATTTAAGTTGGTGTTTATTGGGTACTTGTTAATTACCTTATCCACTCTGATAACGGATGCCCCAAAATCTGCCAAAATTGTTCCACATAAGGGTCCCGGAGCAAGTCCAGCTAATTCCAAAACCTTGATTCCTTTTAGAGCCATGGCGTCCAATGAATTGATGAAATTTCTTTTTTTTCATAAATCGGTTGACCTGATATTTATCTACAATGTTATCATTGTTAAGAAAATTCTCATTCAAACAAAACACACATTCGGTTATATTTATATTGACGTAAAATTTATATTTTACCTCTCAGTTTGCTCTATCACAACACATTTCTCGTTAATCATCAGCAGACATATTTCCACAATATTATGCATGTAGCATGACACTGCATTTATATAATCATATCTTTCAATTAGGCCGGATCTACGTTGACCGACTAATAAGAACCGGCCTTAGGAACAAACAATACATTCAGTGGTCTAGTTTACACTGTGTGTTTGATACGCGTATCAAATACTAAATAACTAGTAAGTAGATTTAGTCATTGGCTGATCGGCTGAAATACACTCATAACTCTCATAAGCCGGCTAGCACAGTATAACCAGTAGGGTCACTTTTTGTCGACACACTCGGCACCTTTGATCTGGGCGTTCTCACTTTTCCGCTATGTATTTATATCTGTGAGTGCCAACAGTGTGTCAACGGCTAAAAGTGCCTGGATCCTTTTCAGGATTGTATCCAGAAAAGGCGCATACGAACTGACATACATTATTTAGGGCCAGTTTCACAAACGTCGGTTAACTGCTAACCGAAGGTTAATTGATCCTCTGTCTCTTCTTAGAGAACAAGATAGAAAAAGATAGGGCGTTGACTGAACTCTGGTTAACAGTTAATCAACGTTTGTGAAACTGGCCCTTACTGTAAAAGGAAATGGCCTATGAAAGAAAATTGTTCTAATAAAAGTAATTAATATAATTAATTACTAGCAAAAGTTTTATGAATTCTCCAAATGCTAATTATATCTAAAAGAATGTATTAGAAATTATGAAATTAAAAAGAAAATTGTGAAAAAATAATCCAATTTTTATTTGTCCTTCTAAATTGGATATATTTGTCATATTTGATATAAATTTTCTCTTTCCTATACTTCAATAGATTGTTCACTTAATATATGTAATAAAAAGCAGACAGATAAAATTGTATAAAATTCTAGAAATAAAAATTTTTTAATGATCCTGAAAAAGTACAAGTCATTTAATTGAAATTCGCATAAAATCTAACGGGTTTAAAGATTAGACGTACGCTGCGTCTGATAAGCAATCTCCGTTTGCCAATAAATCGTCAATTTCGTTAGTTTAGCTCAGTTAAGATTTGTCTTCACCGGGTTGTGGATTTTTACGACCTCCTACAGAAATACCGGGTGTGCGAGACAAACGAGGAGCGGGATTTGGAATTATATCGGCCCCCATAGTCGTAAATGTCTGCCTTTGATTATTGTGACTATGTGACGTGACGTTTTCAATATCTAACATCGGTGCTACGCAGGCATCACTGCTGTCGAATATAGCGCACCATTCCGCTTGAGTCTTGGTCTTGAAAATTGCCGTGATTACGCGATGATTTTCTTCGAAATTCTCGAGCTGCGGTACCTCGTTGCTCGAGAGAGCTTCTTTAGAAAGATTTCGTAGAACTGTGGTTCGAGAATCCACACAGGCAGCTTGGGCGGTGCTGCAGCCGCAATTTAAACCGTGGGAGAGAGACGTCTCACAAATAAGCCCAGCGAGGAGCTGATTTTAATAGATAAAATTTTACCGAAGAACGTAGAACGCTCTACGTGCAACTAACATATACGTGCAATACGAACGTTACGCTAAAGTAATGGTCGCGCGGGCCTTTTAAAGCCCGAGCTTCGCGGGCGCGCGACGCCAGGTGGCGCTCGCGCTTGGCGCCCTTTTCAATGCCGAAGGACAGGGAGTCGCGGGCGTCACGGCGCTTGGCAATCTTGGATGACATCACGGCCTCGCACGGTGTTTGTGATTGATTTGTTATTTATATTATTAGCCTATACGAGCCTATTGAGTTTTACATTCCCTCCCCCTCCGGCCCCCGTTTGTCGTTCACCGCGCGGCGTTTATTGTGCATATTTCTTCCCCCCCAGTGCCGTTGGTCGCGAACTCGTCGAAGATACCGGCTAGTCGCGCACGGAAGTGGTGAATCACCGCGACGCCTCAGGCTGGTCTCGAGCCAACGGCAGTTGTACGGCGTCCTGTCAGATTCGCACCCGTCGCCCTTCGTCGCACGCGACACCCCCACGATGGCTAATCACGGTACGACACTCGGAGGGTGTGAGGTTTCAACTCCGCGATCGTGTACGCTTAGGTTATGTTTAATCCAATTGTTCCAGACGAGGACAGGAGCGAGGGCTCCGCCGAGATGGCGGCCGAAAATGAGGGAGAGGAGTCCGAGGAACCTGACAAGATATTAATTATAGATCCCGATAGCGAGGTACGTCGTCTGGTCTACTTCCGCTTAAACAGCTCGACGCATTTTCCAATTTACTCCGTTTCTACCAATGTAGATTAATTTCATTCCCAGCTCAACTTACTTCTCATCCTTTTCTAGTTCTGAGAATTAGAACAAGGTAAAAAGTGAATTAAGCCGAGATCAAATCTGCATTGACAGAAAGTGGACATTGGATGAATTGCCATGTATACGCCACGTTGTCGACGACAGTTACCGTTACAGAGCGATTGTTTCAGGAGTTAGACTTCAATCACTCGAGATTAACGAAGCTGGAGAATTTGGAGCCGCTGACGCAAATACGAAGATTATGCTTCACGTGGAATCTGATTAAGAAGATAGAAAATCTCGATATGCTTACTAGTTTGGTAGAACTGGAATTGAGGGATAATCAAATTACAACCATAGAAAATCTGGATGCTCTCGTGAATTTAAAGTGCGTCTCTTAATCCTGTTGGTTCATCTCTAATGAACGATGTACGCTAATAATTTATTGGGTTCTAGATTCCTAGATCTGTCGTTCAATCGCATTAAGAAGATAGAAGGGTTGGATAATTTATTGAATCTGCAGAGATTATTTATATCGTCAAATAAAATTTTGAAAATCGGGAACGTGTCGCATCTGGTGAATCTTACGACGCTGGAACTGGGCGATAACAAGATACGCGAAATTGAGAATCTGGATGGTCTCGAGAAGCTGACCCATTTGTATCTTGGTAAGAATAAAATTACCAAAATTCAAAATCTGGAAAGCCTGAAGAACCTCACGCTGCTAAGTCTGCAAAGCAATCGACTTACGAAGATCGAGAACATTGAAGAACTAAGGAAATTGAATGAATTGTACTTATCCGAAAATGGTATCACGTGCATAGAGGGTATAGAGAATTGTCCGGAGTTAACGACGTTGGATCTAGCCAACAACAAAATTAAAAAGATTCAGAATGTAGATCATCTCGAGAGTCTCGAAGAATTCTGGGTAAGTGCAGTTAATCTACAGACGCTTCTGTATCGCGTGGTTGTGTATTGGTCCCCCATAATTTATCATATTTAACATCCACAGATGAATAATAATGAAATTGAAGACTGGAACACGCTGGAGAGTTTAACGGCCAACAAGAAGCTGCAGACCGTGTATCTGGAGCAGAATCCCATTATGAAGGATCCAAACTACAGACGGAAAATCATGCTGCTGCTGCCGTGGCTCGAGCAGCTGGATGCGACTCTTTGTAAGAGAAAAACCGGCCAACAGTGGAGGGAATAACAATAAGTAAAATGCAAATAGGAAGTACGACTAAAGAAATTAGCGTGAATTGTTTATGAAGGATCCATGTGATGGACTCGCATTGTTGTTACTTTCTTTTGTTGTACCCGATATGAGCATTGCGTAGAGAAACTTGGCCACAAGAGATTAATAACGGTGCTTCTACCGAAGACGCGCTTGATACTAGACTATTATGAAGCCGCTACTCGATGTTGAAGTCCGTCTCGTAACTTGCTCCTTTTTACTGGAAAGGAAATGCGAGTGATGGTCGAGCGAATGTATCAGTATGATAAACCGAAACAACTTTTTATTTCGAACATATTTTAATATATTCTTCTTCCTACACTAATCGTATATTATATCGTACTATTATACCACACATTTCTGTAAAACTATATATCTGCACGTATCTATTAATTATGTTAAGAAGTTAATAGGTATGAACTTTAAAGATTCCAATTATTTCTAAGATATATTTCCACCGAAAGTAACTTCCTTACAATTTATTTTTAATGTTTGTGGTATTGTTACAAAAAATAACATGTATACCTATATTTTATAGCGGCGCAAGGCAGCTTTTTATAATCCAATTTGTTGACCCGTCTTGATAATGATTATTGTTACAATATAATGTAATAACGTATACAAAGTATACTAAGCTTACATAAATAAATCATTATTAAATGTCTCGTACTTGCAGAAAGTCGATCAATCTCGAATTGCGAATTTGCACTTGAATTGCAATGTGGCTCGACAGGGAAGGATTAATGGAGGGCTGCGAGTAAAAAAAAGACTTCATTTTGAGAAAAATGACTTATACAGTAACTGCCCGATTATTAAAATAAAATAAAGTTGTGCTACAAAAAAGTGGAAACGCATCGTCATGTCATTTCAAAGTAAAAATTTCATGCAAGACTCAGCTGCGACTGTTATCTTAATATCCAAACCAGAGTCATTGCAATCAACGTCTTCGTGAGTTTTCATTCTTATTCAGTCAAGTCCAGAACTGCGCGGTTCTAGAGTTAAAAAGAGACAAAGTTACTCGCTGTTAGCATTTTCGCTATAGGCCGGTAGGTATTCATAGTCCGTTCTTATATTTAAGATCATCTTAAGTATACTCTTAATGTGTTTTTAACCAATCACAGAGCCGTATTAGCTTCTTAAGACAACACTTAGGATGATTTTGAAATAAAACCAACGGCGTGACGATACTATTTTTCCAACTGGATTGCTTACAAGAGCCAATCAGGATATAGCCTTAAGTCACCTGATCTAAAACTCTGCCTTCTTATTGGTTCTCGTAAGCAATCCAGGAAAAATAGTATCGTGTGCCGTTGGCTTAAGAATCGACTATGAATACCGGCCAATAGCGTAAGATACAGAAATGACCCCCTGCCGCGTGCACCATTCGTCCCGTTTCGCGAGCGTGGGGATATTCACGAAGGCGCGCGTTCGAAAGCGCCGCGCTGCTCCACCGTCTCTCTACGAACTGCTACGAACTGACGCGACCGGTGTTGGAGCTCGTCCAATCGCGCGGCCCGCGCGGCCGTGATTGGGCCGGCGCGCGAGCGCCCCCGCGGTCGTACGGATGCGCCGCCGCGCCGTGACGTCATCGCGCCAGCGCTCGGCTCGGCGTTCGGCCATTTTGTGTGAATGAGCGCTCTCCGCTTTCACGGGGTATTTGTGTTGCGGGACTCTCGCGGCCACAGTGGCGGAGATAAGGCTCGGATGATTTAGTTTCGTGCACGCAGGGACACGCACGGCGACGGATTACATGCGCCAGTGAGAAGGGTGCGCGACCGACCGACCGATCGCCCGCTCCGCGATTAAAAACTCCCCGTGCGAGACTGGAACAGGTACGATGGAGGATAAGGCGTCGCTCAAGGAACTTGACCAGTGGATAGAACAATTAAACGACTGCAAACAACTGACAGAAAGCCAAGTGAAAACCCTCTGCGATAAGGTACGCGATCGCCCGCGCCCGTCGGGGCCCCCGCGGCTCCGCCCCGTTCCCGGTTCTCCCCCGACGACGGTGGTGCCCACGCGTGCCCCGCTGTGTCGTGTGCCGTGTTCGCCCGCGTCTCTCGCCGCGCCCGTTATTCGCTCGCTCTCCAACGGCGAGGTGCGTAGTCGCGCGCGAAACGTGCCGTTTCGCGACCTCCGCCGCCGCCGATGTGTCACGGACGTCGGTCCCCGCGGTGTACGCGCCGTCGCGCGAGGCTCGTCGGGCGCCACCGAGTAACCCCCGGGATTCCCCCCCGTCGTCGTCGTCGTCGCGTCGCGCTCCCGTCCCGGACGGCGAGGTCGCCGTCGCCGTCGCCGCTTTCGGGGCCGACCGGGATCCGCGGCTCCCGATCGATCATATTCGTGGCTGCGTCGCGCACCGTTTTGCACCTGTTAACGCGATTCCGCAACAGGTGCACGTCGCCGCCGTCGTCGTCGTCGCCGTCGCAGTTAAATTCGTCCGGGACGACGCGTGTGCGGTTCTACGATCTCGTCCAGGAGGCGAGTGGGCCTATCGTTCGCGCGGTAGCGGATGTACTTTGCAGTGGGCATCTGTCGCGCGTCGCTATCTCTCGCGGCAGGAGAGGAAAATTATCACCTCGCTATGAATCACGCGGCCGCTCGTACGGATACTCCGCCGTTGTGCTTAGCTGACGGGAGGCAGGCACGATCCTGGGTTCAAAAGTACAACCACGGCCGCTCGGCCAACTGAAAAGAAAGCGCGTGAAAATCTGAGGAGGCGACACCGCCTCTCTCCTCGCGCCGAGTATCGTTTATTTATCCCAACGTTTCCGTCTTCCTTCGCTCGGCCGAGGACTGAATGAAGCGACCAGCACCTTTGAATGAGTCTATATTTAGACGTTTAAAAATGGTATTGCAGCCGCGACATTCCTCGCAATAATGCATCGCCCCGCGTGGCACGTTTATGCCAGTTGGCCGAGGCGGCCGCTTTTCTAAATGTACATATGCCAGCAATTGCATCTGCAATTGGCGACGGAGATTCGCTCGTCGCGACGAGATTTCTGTATATCGAGAGATAATTTCCGATCGCGAGCGAACGCTGATAATCCGCGAGATTCCGCCGACCTGATAACGTGCTTATCGCTCCTTGATATATCGTACGTTGCCCCGCGTCCCCGCGAGAACGACTCTTCGATTGGAACAGGAAGAGATTTAAACATTTGCCACGTGTGCGAGCGCGCGCGCTTGTTGTAAATTAAAGGGCCCGATTTCACCAAACGTCGCTTAACTTTACATCTTACTTTCGTACGTGTTTGTCTCCTTCTGAGGTAACAGTTGAGAAGAGGCGAATTAAGCCGGGCTTTAAAGTTAAACAACATTGGTGAAACCGGGCCTCACTCGCTCCCTCCGGGTGTCACTTCTGCGTCTTGCACTACAGTGAAAATGCTGAAAGCGAATAGCTTTGTCACCTTCTAGCCGTCCCCTTGGAAAGAGGCAAAGCCGCTCGCTCTTAGCACTTTTACTGCATTGAACCCCTGCTCGCTACGTTTTCGACGTGGCCGCCCGCGACAGTGTCTCAAACCGATGCTTCCAACTTTTTCAGGCGAAGGAGATTTTAGCCAAGGAATCAAATGTACAAGAAGTGAAATGTCCCGTGACGGTATGCGGGGATGTACACGGGCAGTTCCACGATTTGATGGAGCTGTTCAGAATAGGTGGCAAATCACCTGATACGAATTACCTTTTTATGGGTGACTACGTCGACCGCGGCTATTATTCGGTCGAGACTGTCACTTTACTCGTAGCTCTCAAGGTACAGTGCGACGTTTCATTATGTCATGGTGTTGGTAGTAATCCGTTAATGTATCAATTGCACAGAGCGTATGTACATACGTTACTCCTTCTCTCAAACAGGTAACAAGAAATCTATCCTTAGTTTATCTCTCTTCCCCTTACGCGTTTGTTTTGTATAATTAAAGGTGAGATATCGAGAGAGAATAACCATTCTGCGAGGCAACCACGAGTCGCGGCAGATCACACAGGTGTATGGGTTTTATGATGAGTGCTTACGTAAATATGGCAACGCCAATGTGTGGAAATTCTTCACGGACTTATTCGATTATTTACCACTAACGGCCCTGGTCGATGGCCAAATATTTTGTTTGCATGGTGGCCTGTCGCCGTCGATTGACACGCTGGATCACATACGCGCGCTAGACCGTCTTCAGGAAGTGCCACATGAAGTCAGTACACGTGTCTGCAGTTTCCACAAAGCTCGTAGCAGCGGGGCCAACAGCATGCGACACTGTTTTTCCCCGCGGGATTGCTTACGAGAGCCAATTAGGATCTATCTATAAGTTATTTGATCTGTAACTCTGGCATCTTTATTGGCATCTTGTGAGAAATCCAGGAAGTCAATTCCGTATCTTACAATACAGGGTGTGTTCCCGTTTCCTCTCATTGTCAGTACTACTCGGAAAAGGTCTGGATGGTTGCATCTAGAAAAGAATAACTAGCTGTGTTATTATTGAAGAGTATTGAGGTTTCATTTGGGAATGATTTTCTCAGAAGCTGAATTCAGTCGTAGCGTCCAGTACTGGCAGTAGTACTGAGGGCAACTGGGAACACACTCGTAGTGAAAGTGCTAAAAGTAGGCGGCTTTGTCTTTTTTTTAAAGGGACGGTTAGAAAGAGACAGAGCTATTCATTTCCGCTACAGCGTAAGATACAGAATTGACCCCCAGTAGGAAAAATAGTATCGCGTGCCGTTGATTTGACTCGTCATCCTAATCGTCCGTAATTTGACGCAGGGTCCCATGTGCGATCTGCTTTGGTCAGATCCCGACGATAGAGGAGGATGGGGCATTTCGCCACGTGGGGCAGGATACACCTTTGGTCAAGATATTTCGGAAACGTTTAACCACTCTAATGGGCTGACACTTGTGTCACGAGCTCATCAGTTGGTCATGGAAGGCTACAATTGGTACGAGTAGCTGGACATTTGTTTAGCTTTAAACTGTTTTTTCTTCTCCACCACGTATGTAGTTTATATCGTACAATTCAGGATACTTTATGAGAAATTGGTAATGTGCTTTCAGGTGTCACGACCGCAATGTCGTGACTATATTCTCAGCACCTAATTACTGTTATCGTTGCGGAAATCAAGCTGCAATCATGGAACTGGATGATGCTTTAAAATATTCATTGTGAGTATCGCTCTGATACATTCGTATGTGTGACGTAATGTTTATTTGTTGTGTTTTACTCATGTGCCAAATGCGTCCGTTGAATGGCTGAATTGATCTATCGAGGGCATATCGTTACATTTAAATTTATCTATATAACTATATGATAAATTATTTAAATGTATGATAATCATTTGCGTACTTTTATTTGCGTGACACAGCACATTTTCTTTATTTCTTATTTCTTAGTTGTTCGAATCGAACCTAGTGATGTTCGGATGTAATTGCTGATTTTACCTTTGACTTTATTTCACTGACGACAATGACTTGCGAGTCTACGAGTTTCCTGTTTCCCTGTTTCCTTCTTATTCAGTTTCTTTTGAGTATTGTTACTTGAAAAGGACCTGAAGTAAGGTCGAAACGTTGTTGCTACGAATTTAATAAAATTTACCAGTCGAGTTGACAATAAGCCTATTATTTAATTTTGAATCATCACTGGTGACTATAAGTGGGGTATTCTTTCGTTATTAATTTTGTCTTGATTTTTCTGTCGCAGCCTACAATTTGACCCAGCACCAAGACGTGGAGAACCACATGTTACCAGGCGAACGCCAGACTACTTCCTCTAAAGAACTAGACTTCAGGGCTAAGTGTCAAGGTAGGGGAATGGAAATGCGATCCTGACTTTATAGTAACGCCAGAAAACCATAACTTACAATAGAACATCGCTAAATGAGTGCGAGGCTCCGATAATGTCCTCACACGTACCACATATAGCCCCAAGTATTATATCATGGCTCACTTTGTGGTGTCTCATTGAGAGATAGAATAGATTACACGCACGTTCTGTGCGTGCCTTACACGATACATGTAGACACAACATTGTACACTAAAAAGGAAAAAATAATACAATAATGTACACGTATCGATTAAATTCACTTGTAGCATTGAGTTTTACAACTTTTATTATATCCGCTTGTATTTTTATTATAAAAGAAAACTGAATATATAATAATGCACACGTTTGCGCGCAATAGGTAGAACAAAAAATATCGGTAAAAAAATGGTATTGTTTTGTAATCTTGAATGAAAATACTGAAACTCGTCGAGAAAAATTTATATAAACAAAGCAACATCGTGTGTATTTTAAACGATCGTGCGTTCTAAACGAAATTGATTGTCATGCAAGATTCCAAGAAAATATACCAAAATGGTCATAAGTTATATTTAAGAGAGTGTCACGTTATTATTAGTGTGAATGGAGCATGAAATGTTCCACTTGAAGGAAACGCAAGGTGAGTTGATGCAACAGTTAAATTGGCATTCATAAATCGTGCCATATGAGAATTTAATAAATATAATTTTCAAGTAGAAAATTATTAAAAGATTTAATATGGCATTACACATATGCATTCATCAGAATCATGATGAGTAATTGTTTCGTTAGAATTACAGCCACAGTATTTATTTTTAAGCAAATGGCATAGACTTCTTTTTATTTAAATGGCATAGAAATCCCCTGAAAAGGCGAATGTAAATCTTGTTCTCGTTGAGCGTAGCTTTCTATTAATCCATATTATTTTTGCGAGGTAAAACGCGTATGTACAATAAAGGAAAAAAGTGATGAGAATGATATCTACATCCGCACTTTAAATGTTTTTTTTTGTTTAGGCAAAATGGGTATATTTAATATTTTACTGTACATAAAATTTAGTTGATTTGATTAATTTTTCTATCAGTTGTATTTTTATATCGTAAATTTGTCTTGTGTAATTGTAGACTACTGCAATATAAAATTGTATTACACTGGTTAATAATTAATAATTTTAAAAGATACGACACTTTTGCATCAATTCTATCTGCCTTCTAAAGTGAAACACGTACTTTATATCGAGTGAATCTATGCATTCGTGACGGTTGAATTAAAGAAAGAAAATTGTTTGCTTGTAAACCTATCGACGATCTTTTTACTAATTAATAGATATGAAATGATGCTTCTGGTAAATAAACATGTGTAATGCAAGCCAAAGCAACCCAATGTCAACTTTTATATTCGTTAAATGCAGGAGCAATTTGTGTACAATGAGCAGCTAAAAGGAAAAAAAGAACACTTGAGGATGTAATTATAAGAATAAGCATTGCAATTCGACTATAATGCATAATGAAGCAATTACAATAGCATGACGAAGGACGACAAGGCGAATGAGAAATGTGTTAGATGCACATTGTAGCAATTAACTAAGACTGTAAAATCCATATACAACACAGGATGCAGCGCGGAGTTAACGCGAGCCTTCTGCACAATGCAGGCTGAGCATTTTTTTTCTTTTTTTTCCATTTCTATACAATATGCGTATATACATAATATTCTCTAGACTACAATAATAAGAATAAATTTTCCTATAGAACAAAAATGCACTTGTAGTATTATATATAATGCGACGAAATTTAAAGATATGGCGAAGGAATAATAGGTACCAGCAATTATTATAGCTAATTTTATATCTGCTCTATTTATTGCCCTCTCACTGCATACCGACCTTCATACGACGGATGAAATTAATATGATATATACTGAAACACTAGTAAATATGCGTTTCGGTGCATAGTACCTTAATATCTATGTGAATATTATCATATTTTGATTTCACATTGGCGTGGCAAACACAGGGAGGCTATTGTACACGGTGTTCATTTTAGCAGAAACAATGTCTTAAAAATGAATGAATTTTACACAAGAACAGTTTATATAAGAATTAATTCATTTTGAACATCTTATGGATGCATTTATTGGAAGTCGAGTGGTTTCCGAAATTTAATGCTTACTTTTTTTAAAATAAACTATACATTTTTTGTTTCAATTTTAATACATCATATCTTATAGCTTTGTATGTAAAAAGTATTAATAAAATTTGAAAAGCGTCATAAACCAATTCATATTTGATTATGTACATTTTGTGACATATTCTGATACATAAATAATTGTTTGAATACCTATCTGCTCATTTTTTATAAAAATGAAACACCCTGTATTTTTAGAGTCTCGTTTATACATTAAAAATTTTTTGTTGGTCTAAATTTCAAAACTACTCTCGTACTGTATAAATTAAATCATTACGCATATATGATAATCTTAGCTGTTTGAGAGAGAGAGAGAGAGAGAGAGAGAGAAAGAGAGAGAAAGAGAGTGAGAAAGAAATTAGTTTCATTTTAGATTTAACTTTATAGAAATTTATATGGTTAATTCGAATATTACAATATGTGTGGAGCAAACTTTGTATATCCTAATAAACTAAAAATTTTTTGTGATAGCTTTTATAATTTTTTAACTTATCTAAAATAATACTTAAATCGATTGTACACATGGTATAGAATCGGGACATTATAAGCATGCAATACTCTCTTAAACTTTGCGCGATATGATTTGGATACCTTTAATTTAGCTTGCAAAGTCTGGCATCACACACAGACAAGCCCAGATTTGTGAAGAGGAAAGAAAAATGCCATGAACATATAATTATATAATGTCATCTTATTATAAGGAATTAGAGAAATAAAGAGATATTATCACATTTAGAGATAGGGTTTTGCTTACACTCTATATATTTACAATATTTCACAAAAGGACACAATATTTAATGTATAAAACTTATTTCTTATGCATGTTTTTAATTATTTGAAGTATTATCTTGTATATATTAAAAACTCATTTTCTTTGAGTTTATCATTTTAATACTTGTATTTACATTACGCAGTAAAAAAGATAAGTAATATGTATAAAGATAAAACTTTATCATCATATTTCTGAGTTATATGTACAAATAAATATTCTAGAATAATATGTACACAAAATATCTCTCTTTTTTTTCTCATAAAACATACAGCTATTTTGTCAGTGTATACAATAATGCATATTACATATCGGAATAATAATTTGCCTAATTTTATTCTTTGAACATTCGGGTAAAAAGTGTTACGTATTTAAATATGTATTTTTACGAAGCATTTGCTATATGTTTCATATTTATTTGCAATCTAATTGTAGTAGTAATGTTCATCAACGATTTGAGTTTAATTTGCTACATGTACATATCAATACATGTATATGTATAAAAATGGTGAGCAAGTTTTTCATTTAGAAGAGATTGAAAGCATCAATTCTGCATCTATTAACTACTAACTCTAAATATACAATGTAACAGTACTGTACATAGTTTCTAATCATACCTTTTTTTTTAAATCTTACTCTTTTTGTTCAGCTGAAAACACTAAAGCAAGATACCTAAAATATTCGTATTGTATGATCTGTCTTTTTATGATTTATCTTTTCATAATAAATCAGACATCGGTATATTGCATAATTTTAATATCGTAAAATTTCTTATTTTAATCAAGATAAAAATAGTCTTATATTCGTGTATGTATAGGGTGTTATGTAATACCCGCCTCACCTCTTATTTATGAATAGAACGGCCTAGACCGAGTCGAAAAATTCTCTACCATTTTGCAATTTTCCGCGATAGTTATCGAGTTGTTAATTATTAAAAACCGCTGTCTTGGCCCGGCCTACATATACCGCCCAATTCCAGCTCGCAGCGAGATGCGGCCGTCCTGCAATTGGTTTTGCAAGGTGCGCAGGGAGTTGTTTATTATACGTATAGCCGTTGCCGTGTGTCATAAACAATTCCCCGCGCGCCTAGCAAAGCCAATCGCAGGACGGCCGCATTTCGCCGCGAGCTTAAATTGGACGGTAGGCCGGGATAAGACAGTGATTTTTAATAATTAATAATTTGTTAACTATTGCAAAAATTGTAAAATGGTACAGGATTTTTCGACTCAGTCCGCAATATCCGTAAATAAGAGGTGAGGCGGGTATTACATAACACCCTGCATATATAATTTAGTTATAGTTTTATTCCAGTATCTAACTGAAGGGTCTGCTTCATTACCTCATACGTCGCAAAACCAACTGCCATAAAAGGAACTGCTCGTAAGAAATTGATACTCATTCCACGGTATAAACCTTTCACAATGCCATTCTCGGTATATATCATTCTAAGAGTAGGTAACATTCCCGACCTGAAAAAGTAATAATCTTAAATTAATATACAATATGTTAATAAATAAAATTGGATTTATTTATTCAAAGTAAATTGGAAATTAATAGAAGAAATATTTTTAAATTTATAGATTAAAAGAGAGATACTAACAAAAAAACAGCAGTTGTAACAGCATCGTAAAGAAAACATTGCAAGACGTGTATGTAAATGTATTTGTAAATTATTGTACCATATTACTTACGCGTACTTATGTGTAGCTGGATTCATCATAGCCAACTGCATTCGTCTCTTCGTAACGTCTAATGGATAGGAAAAGGTATGCGCTACAGCACCGGCGGCGCCTCCGCATAGAAGTTTCGCCGGTATATTCAATATAAGACCACCTACAAAGTAAAGAGATGACATCAGTATTATACACTTTATTGTCGAAGTAACCTGTCTTTTACTTACCGGTATTTGTTTGATGCTCGGTACAAAAATAATGCGGCGCGTATTTCATGCTTAGGTATTTTACCTTCTCGAATGTATAGAAGGAAAATCCGGCGTATGGTACCATGCCCAACATATTTGGCAAGAAACCTCGGTACAACGCTCGAAGGCCGCCTTCCTGCGATATTTAGTAATTATTTTTATATAACAAGAGACGTCAAGATTAGAAATTAAGTTGAACACGTTTAATTAAGTTTAAACTGTATTTATATACACATAGAATATGAAATGCCGAATCTATTGAATCTATTACGAATATATACACAATTTATTGTTCATGCATTTGCAGTGCGAGTTCGAAGACTTGGTCTCTCACCCGTTCGTTCAAAATTTATCTTTATAGTCGTTTTAAACTACAAGAGAAAATGATCAAGACACCTGTTAACGTTACTGTCTGAGGCAAATGTTCTATTTCTTCTTTTTAATGCGTCTCTTAACACTAGACTCCAAGAGCGTTGATTTACCTCCTTCAGCATTCTCACAGCGGCGTGTTTGATTCCGGAGTAAAGTGTATTGCTGGTAACTTGGAAGGCCAGCCTTGCTCTGATAGTGTCGAGTGGGTACGTGCTCGCGGCTGCTGTGACACCCGCGGCAGCTCCGGCCAAAAATCCATTTATATGCGAACTTTGCTCAAACGATCCCTCTAAATGCTAACAGAAATTGCGCGAACGTCATTGTCGGTTTTAATTACAGTTACAGCTACAGTAAACGGGAGATCAACCGCGTATGTACGACACAAAATAAATGGCTGAAACTTTCTCAAACGTCATGTAATCGGCCAAATTGCTATTTTTAATGATCTGGCTTTTTCATAGGGAGTTTTATCTGCTTACTTTGTGTTTCACACACATATTTTATCTCTGCTTGTTTCCGAGACTTCCTCTGTCGACTGAAAATCGACGTTTATCTCAATAAACTATCAAGTATTATTAATATGCGAGAAACACTTGGTCTCCAGTCAAACCGATCTCACAATTTTCTTCAATTCAGTTTTCTTATCATTATATTATTTAAGATAATTAGTCACAAATAAAACAAATTATTAGTATTAATTAAACATAATGCGACGGGACATTTCAACTTAAGAGAGAGCAAGGGCGCATTGAATTCGAACATTTTGATACGTGGTTTCAAATATTGAATTCGAGCAGAATTCTATTGTCTTCCACACCTTTTTATACCGTTCGTACGCTGTAAATTGTATCGCTGCGTACGGCACGGCCCTGATCATTTGAACGAGATTGCCTTTGTACAAAGCAAAGAAATTTTCGCGTCGAACGATTTCCCTGAACCCCGAGAAAACTCCTGCAAAATTTCACATATTTATTTATGTATTTGTGCGCGTACGAATACTTAATTTGTATTGTTATTCTATTAGTGAAAGAATTTACGCCCTCACCTAAGTGTTTATAGTGCTCGTGCTGTGCCTGCAACAGAATTTTGATCCTGTCCAATGGTGCCACGGCCGTTTTCGAGCACATGCCGGCAACACCTGCGTATAATTAATTGTATATCCATACAATATAATAAAAATTCACGCATTTTTATATATACCAAAAATCTTGAAATATCGATTATATCAACTTTAATATGTCGCGATGTATAGCAATTTTTTTTAAAAAGAAAGCTTGGTTTAAAATTGACCAATCAGATTCGCGAAAAGCTGGCGCGTTGAAAGTTCGCGTATGCGTCTGAAGTTGGACGTTTGCGAGCTTATTTAAAATATATAAATCTTTATGCCACAACTAAAGTTGGTATATAAGAGAAATAAGGAAGCGTAGCAGAATTTATATTGTACAAAAAAATTTCTAAGTGATTTTTTTTTAATGAAACCCCACACATTTATTTTTGTTACATTTTGCACGTGAAGAGCATTCTCTTTTACCATTTTCTTTTTTTAAAGCTCTAATAATAAATTTCTAAATAAACATATGAACTATTAATTTTAAAAGGGAGACAAATTGACTCAGAAGAAAGCTGTGATTTTTTGTAATTCTAAATTATCATCATCATGATAAATACTAACTAAATCATAAAAACTAAATAATTGAATATCTTTTTAAAGTAGACTCGCTAAGCATTGCTTCGGTCAAACTCTGGTTAATTTAATCAGCGACCAACTTAACCAAGTATCCAAGGAGTGCCAATGCGCATATAAAGTGCTTTTAACGCGCGTTTTATTGCTTTGGCTACAAAACAACGTCAACTGTGTGTTCAAAATGCGCAAATTTAATATGTTTGGATATATATTGAGATATATAATTTTATATAATTCTCTATATTTATACATGCTGATGCATGAAAAATTATGCATAGGAAGTTAATGTTACAGTTTTTTGGAATGCGCTGCCACAATATACATTAAATGCGCATTCAATGCGGGACAAATACGTACGTTAAATGCGAATTTAAATGTACATTTAAAGCACGTTATACGCGCATTGGCACTCCTTGTGTAATATCTGTATTATATTAATAACGTAGATGGAATTGTAAATTTTTTGGCGGTCGATCACACATAAAAAAAAGGAGAATTAGATCAGAAACAACGAGTTATATGGTTAGACATTTTGCTCTAAACGATTCTGCTGATTAATCCGAGTTGGTCAAAGTTGCTCTAAATATAACGTCCAATCGATCTACAAATAGAGGCTCTGCGACGTCAGAGACGCGTTCACGAACTCGCTATTAAAATCCCAAGCCTTCCACGCCTTCGCGCTGCTCCTGAGGATCAACGCTGAAGCGAAAAAGAAAAAGAAGTAGAATGTATTCGACAGGATTCCCACTCACCACCGGCTACGAGATTTTTCACGACGGCCTCGTAATTCGCAGTTTTCTTTTTGGATCGTGTCATAGCTGCCGCGGGTAATGGGATGGATGCAAATCACAGGTGCCGGCTTGTGACGAGAAAAACGAGCGAGTGAGACTGCTCGCGGCAAAGACTCGTTCCCTTTACTCCATTCCATGTGATTTCAGTCGGCAGCCGAATGGAGGAGAGGAGGGGATCGCTGACCTTGACTGACCCATTCATTCCATTCTCACGTAAAGAACGCGAGGTTGTTTAAATTGTGTCCAACGATGGAGCGACACCCCGGCTTTTCCCATTTTCCTTTAAATCCTATCTCTCCAATCTTGTGGTTAACCACGAGGAATTTACCACTGGAAGTTACCAACGTGATACTGTACAGGAGCCGCGGCAAAAAATTGTTCATGCATGAACATATAAAAATATACCTCAAATGTGTCCGTACATATTTTTACATTGTATATTTCTATATAATCTTATACAATTCTACGTACAGTTCTATATAATTTTATAGATTTATACATGCTTTTGTATGAAAAAATTTTTAATGTGAAAAATTGCTTATTTATAATTATATGTAATTGTGTATAATTTTCCAAAGTTATATATAGTTATAAATGAGCAATTTTTCCCTTTCAAAAATTTTGAAGCATGTATAAATCTCTAAAATTATATAGAACTGTGTAGAATTGCATAGAAATATACAATGTAAAAATATGTATGGACATATTTGATAATTTATTTGTATTGAATTGATTTGTATAATCTTATATAATATTATATATTTATGCATGCTCATGCATGAAAAATTTTTTATCGGGACTTTTACTACCCATATGACTTTCAGCGATAGTCACTGCCATTCTACGGTCGGATATTTTATTTACATGTACATAATACGTGTATGCTAATGTAGATTATTCACTGAGACTCATCGATGAACAGTACTCATTAATTTTGATGACTTGCAGGTCAATTAGAATCTAATTCTTTGTGCGTTGACTTGCGACACTGACTTACGTCTTAAACGGAATCATAAACAGTAACAATCTTTTTGCTCAGGCGCTACCTTGATCGTAGACGTAAGGCAAGCAGAGTAAAAGTCGTGAAAAGCTACTGTATACGGCTTAAGCAATTTTTCTCTGTCTTACCTTACGTCTACTAAGACAGACTTAAACATTTTGCGCGCAAACATCTAGCATGACGATGCACTGGGATAGGATTTTGCTTGCTTGTTGAGCCTTTTTTGTACGCGAGTTAGATATTTGTATGCAAAATTATACGTTAATACATGAGCTAACTACTTGCGTGCGAAAGCACAGACAGTACCGGCGGTAAGGTGGGGCGCGATTGGGCGATTGCCCAGGGCGCCAAATCTGTAGGGGCGCCGCTGCCTGGTTTCACCTAGTTTGAGAGTGAGAAAGATTCCCTAAAATATAAAAACAAAATGGAGTTCGTCGTTCAATATTATCACCTTGTTTTTTTCTTTCTCAAGAATTTCGAGCTCTTGAATCTGAATGGGCGCCACGATAATCTTACTCAGGGCGCAAATGTTGCTAAAACCGGCACTGAGCACAGACTAAACATATCTTACAAGCAAAACTCAGGCAAATCTCGTACGAGTTTGCATACACAAAACAAGCAAAATTGTTATCTGGGAAGCGTTCACGGAGCATTCTTTGCCATTTAATTACTGTGTGTCAATACACATAACATCCTTCACACAAATGCGAGTTTGCGTTTGGCTGTTATTCCGTTCTATTTGCCGTCCACTGAAAGCTCGACTAAAAATGACGGATCTAATCAGTAATCTGACATGCGGTGTCCTGAACCAATGAGCTCTATACATATATTCTGGAGTAAACGCGCCTATTCACTATTGTCAGGTGCGACCATTGTATAACGGTATAACTAGTAGGTCCACTTGGCCCCTTTGATCTTTCCGGTCCCGATCACGTAGTATTCCACCGTACACCCATGCAGGATCCAGCGACGTGTGTTGTATATGTACTCACTACAGTCACACTACTGCACATATAATTTTACTGTCATTGGTTTTACTCACAATCAGCACAATGTCGGATGCGCAGAAGGGATCGACGCAAAAGGAAACAAATGACGGAGTGGACCTAATAGTTATACCAGAGAGAAATCTGAGAACGGTCACGCCGGCGTTTTACTTGATACCGTTTCGGGAGACTGTTTTGCGCGCTCTTACGCCCATTTTTACTTTTGGAACTATTTTATTACGCATTTTCTGACACTGCCGAGTTTGTATCTCTGAGTGGCAGTAGGAGTTCGTCAAATTCTTGCGAGTGAGAGAGAAACATAAGCTATCTCACTTTTCTACGGTCGTAGCCTTTGACTATACATATAATCATGGACTGCTAGTTGGTCTTTTCAGGTTGTAATCAACATCACGAGCGCTGCCATAGGTTAAGTGGCAGAATCCCGGTACTTCAATGACATATTTTGCTCACGTATAGTAGCCTGAAAGTAAATTACTCGACGGTCAGAACAACCGAGTTTTGATGTATTAAATTATTCTTTAAAAGTTGATGTTATACTATAAAATAAATATTAATGTATTAATTTGATTGGTATTACAGATTTCTAACAAACCTAATTCTAAATGGTTCTGAACTTTGCTAAACATGATAAAACAGCACGACATAAATTACATTTTATCAGACCAACTTGTAGAGGCCCTCCACCATCCCCGCCGATTCCAATCGAAAGATTAATTCACAATCTCGATCTTGGGACAAAATCAATTGTCTCGGAATTTCTTATCTCGTTAGAAGCCCTGAAATCTTAGCTTTCCAACGAGACCAGGTTCATCTTGCTACGATTATTCTGTGCGAAGACATAAACGATTATATCGACTCGTGATCTCGATCTCGGGACAAAATTAATTTTATTTTCAGAATTAATTAACGATATTTCATAAACTAATGATCCGAGATAAGCCATTCTTATCTCGTTAGAAGCCCTGAAATCTTAGCTTTCCAACGAGACCAGGTTCATCTCGCTACGATTTTTCTGTGCGAAGATATTGACGATTATATCGACTCGCGATCTCTCTTAATCCTGAGATAGAAGCAGCAGACGACGCGTATTACGCGGCGTCTCGCGCGGTGCCTGGCGTGGCGGTGTTTACTGAACACCTGTGCCTCGTATGTTTTTATGCCAGTTTTTTGGGGACGTAGTACGCTCGCGTAAAACTCGCGCGGCCTTCGTTCATGAATGGTGCGCGCGCGCCCGATTTTTAAAACGCTATACTCTGCGAAAAATCGACGTAGCGACACGAACCAAGTGGAGGCTTTATCGGCAGTGCTTGAAAATGGGTGTAGCGGAATATAATTCCAAAAATGAAAATGGCCGTAAAAGGCGCTGGAATCAGCCGAGCGAAAACGAGTATCGAGTAAACCGCTCTCAGGTTTCTCTCTGATCTCTCTGCTACTACGTGCACTCGTGTGCACTTTCCGCGCATGGCAATCAATGGCAATACGTCTGATGCGTCAGATAACTCGCCACTCGGTGCGGTCCGTGCGGTTAAAGTTAAAACTGATTAAGACACCTTGTGTCTCTGCCTCGTTCGCAGCAGCTGGAATGCGATGACTCCCCTAGCCTTCCTGATTTGTATCTTCGTGACAGCGAGCTTCGTGGACACGCACAGATATAACGGTATTACCCAAACGCTCTCCATCCAAACAGTTCCACGCTTTTGCGTTCGCGTTTCTAACCTAAGACAAGTAGTAACAGCTTGATGTTTTCGTACATCTCTTCTGTCAATGTGCATGTCCTAACGAATCGTGTCCCAGAATTAAATTCTCTTTGGCAAAGTGTAGTCAATTATGAATACAAATAAATTAATAATGATTGGACAATAAGAGCTAACACAGTTGTTCGGTGATTATATAGTACATGTATTTTGAATCGCAAATAAACATACCAATTTGACAATCGATTTGTTATTTTGTTTATTTGTGATTCAAGTATGTACATGTACAGTCGGGAGCACTGAGGTTGCGACACTTTTTTTTTATAAGTTTACGAACGTGCAAAATAATTCAGGATCCTGAATTATTTTGCGCGTTCGTAAACTTATAAAAAAAAAAGTGTCGCAACCTCAGTGCTCCCGACTGTACCGTATGATCGCCGAACAACTGTGTTAGCTTGTTGGCTTTCTAGTAGCACAGTACATTGGTTAAACATTGGCCCAATATTTGGTTGTATCGGGCCAATGTACTATGCTACTAGGGCTCTTATTGCCCGATCTTTATTGATTAATTTAATTATGTTTTCCTATAGAGCCTTTATTCCTTTAATTTTCTTCAATTACAAACGTTTAGAAACTTACCCAAGATGCGGATCTTTTTCAATAAGAACAGTTTGCATCCGATACTAATAAATAACTTAATCTTCATACTTGAAGCAGAGCATGCTAAGCTACGTAGCTGTTTATTTTCTTAAAGAATTATATTAACTTTAATTTGCTTTTAAAGCACCAAGCTGAACTGATTTCTTTGTTGCGAGCACTTTGTCTTAATCATCTTGCAGATTATGATGTCCCACAGCAGGACGAAAATGTTATGCAATTGCTGCATATACTGGATGATAACGAATACAGCACTGAGAAACGTAGGAACGTTGAAGAGTCTGAGAATTGGCATGGGCGTTGGACGCCTGACAGACCGGGCGATCCGAAACCACTT